TGCCTCGGGCGCTCGTGAGCGCTATCTCCGAGCTATCTTTGAAGGACGCCACAGTCGGCGCCTTCGCTGTAGCCTTTGCGCCCGCTGCGGCCGCCGCCCACGCCAGGCGTGCCTCGGGCGCTCGTGAGCGCTATCTCCGAGCTATCTTTGAAGGACGCCACAGTCGGCGCCTTCGCTGTAGCTCGCTGTAGCCTTTGCGGCCGCTGCGGCCGCGGCCCACGCCAGGCGTGCTTCGGGCGCTCGTCGGCGCTATCTCCGAGCTATCTTTGAAGGACGCCACAGTCGGCGCCTTCGCTGCCTTTGCGCCCGCTGCGGCCGCCGCCCACGCCAGGCGTGCCTCGGGCGCTCGTGAGCGCTATCTCCGAGCTATCTTGGAAGGACGCCACAGTCGGCGCCTTCGCTGTAGCCTTTGCGCGCTGCGGCCGCCGCCCACGCCAGGCGTGCCGCGGGCGCTCGTGAGCGCTATCTCCGAGCTATCTTTGAAGGACGCCACAGTCGGCGCCTTCGCTGTAGCCTTTGCGCTCGCTGCGGCCGCGGCCCACGCAGTCCGTGCCTCGGGCGCTCGTGCGCGCTATCTCCGAGCTATCTTTGAAAGACGCCACAGTCGGCGCCTTCGGTGAAGCCTCTGCGCCCGCTGCGGCCGCCGCCCACGCCAGGCGTGCCTCGGGCGCTCGTGAGCGCTATCTCCGAGCTATCTTTGAAGGACGCCACAGTCGGCGCCTTCGCTGTAGCCTCTGCGCCCGCTGCGGCCGCAACCCACGCCAGGCGTGCCTCGGGCGCTCGTGAGCGCTATCTCCGAGCTATCTTTGAAGGACGCCACAGTCGGCGCCTTCGCTGTGGCCTTTGCGCCCGCTGCGGCCGCCGCCCACGCCAGGCGTGCCTCGGGCGCTCGTGAGCGCTATCTCCGAGCTATTTTTGAAGGACGCCACAGTCGGCGCCTTCGCTGTAGCCTTTGCGCCCGCTGCGGCCGCAACCCGCGCCAGGCGTGCCTCGGGCGCTCGTGAGCGCTATCTCCGAGCTATTTTTGAAGGACACCACCGTCGGCGCCTTCGCTGTAGCCTTTGCGCCCGCTGCGGCCGCCGCCCACGCCAGGCGTGCCTCGGGCGCTCGTCAGCGCTATCTCCGAGCTATCTTTGAAGTACGCCACAGTCGGCGCCTTCGCTGTAGCCTTTGCGCCCGCTGCGGCCGCCGCCCACGCCAGGCGTGCCTCGGGCGCTCGTCAGCGCTATCCCCGAGCTATTTTTGAAGGACGCCACAGCCAGGCGTGCCTCGGGCGCTCGTGAGCGCTATCTCCGAGCTATCTTTGAAGGACGCCACAGTCGGCGCCTTCGCTGTAGCCTTTGCGCCCGCTGCGGCCGCCGCCCACGCCAGGCGTGCCTCGGGCGCTCGTGAGCGCTATCTCCGAGCTATCTTTGAAGGACGCCACAGTCGGCGCCTTCGCTATAGCCTTTGCGCCCGCTGCGGCCGCCGCCCACGCCAGGCGTGCCTCGGGCGCTCGCGAGCGCTATCTCCGAGCTATCTTTGAAGGACGCCACAGTCGGCGCCTTCGCTGTAGCCTTTGTGCCCGCTGCGGCCGCGGCCCACGCCGGGCGTGCCTCGGGCGCTCGTGAGCGCTATCTCCGAGCTATCTTTGAAGGACGCCACAGTCGGCGCCTTCGCTGTAGCCTTTGCGCCCGCTGCGGCCGCGGCCCACGCCAGGCGTGCCTCGGGCGCTCGTGAGCGCTATCTCCGAGCTATCTTTGAAGGCCGCCACAGTCGGCGCCTTCGCTGTAGCCTTTGCGCTCTCTGCGGCCGCCGCCCACGCCAGGCGTGCCTCGGGCGCCACCGTCGGCGCCTTCGCTGTAGCCTCTGCGCGCGCTGCGGCCGCCGCCCACGCCAGGCGTGCCGCGGGCGCTCGTGAGCGCTATCGCCGAGCTATCTTTGAAGGACGCCACAGTCGGCGCCATCGCTGTAGCCTTTGCGCCTGCTGCGGCCGCCGCCCACGCCAGGCGTGCCTCGGGCGCTCGTGAGCGCTATCTCCGAGCTATCTTTGAAGGGCGCCACAGTCGGCGCCTTCGCTGTAGCCTTTGCGCCCGCTGCGGCCGCCGCCCACGCCAGGCGTGCCTCGGGCGCTCGTGAGCGCTATCTCCGAGCTATCTTTGAAGGACGCCACATTCCGCGCCCTTCGCTGTAGCCTCTGCGCCGCTGCGGCCCGCGGCCCCACGGCCGGCGTGGGCCTTCGGGCGCTCGTCGCGCTATCTCCGAGCTATCTTTGAAGGACGCCACAGTCGGCGCTTTCGCTGTAGCCTTTGCGGCCGCTGCGGCCGCGGCCCACGCCAGGCGTGCCTCGGGCGCTCGTGAGCGCTATCTCCGAGCTATCTTTGAAGGACGCCACAGTCGGCGCCTTCGCTGTAGCCTTTGCGCCCGCTGCGGCCGCGGCCCACGCCAGGCGTGCCTCGGGCGCTCGTGAGCGCTATCTCCGAGCTATCTTTGAAGGACGCCACAGTCGGCGCCTTCGCTGTAGCCTTTGCGCCCGCTGCGGCCGCCGCCCACGCCAGGCGTGCCTCGGGCGCTCGTGAGCGCTATCTCCGAGCTATCTTTGAAGGACGCCACAGTCGGCGCCTTCGCTGTAGCCTTTGCGCCCGCTGCGGCCGCCGCCCACGCCAGGCGTGCCTCGGGCGCTCGTCAGTGCTATCTCCAAGCTATCTTTGAAGGACGCCACCGTCGGCGCCTTCGCTGTAGCCTTTGCGCCCGCTGCGGCCGCCGCCCACGCCAGGCGTGCCGCGGGCGCTCGTGAGTGCTATCTCCGAGCTATCTTTGAAGGACGCCACAGTCGGCGCCTTCGCTGTAGCCTTTGCGCCCGCTGCGGCCGCCGCCCACGCCAGGCGTGCCTCGGGCGCTCGTGAGCGCTATCTCCGAGCTATCTTTGAAGGACGCCACAGTCGGCGCCTTCGCTGTAGCCTTTGCGCCCGCTGCGGCCGCCGCCCACGCCAGGCGTGCCTCGGGCGCTCGTGAGCGCTATCTCCGAGCTATCTTTGAAGGACGCCACAGTCGGCGCCTTCGCTGTAGCCTTTGCGCCCGCTGCGGCCGCCGCCCACGCCAGGCGTGCCTCGGGCGCTCGTGAGCGCTATCTCCGAGCTATCTTTGAAGGACGCCACAGTCGGCGCCTTCGCTGTAGCCTTTGCGCCCGCTGCGGCCGCCGCCCACGCCAGGCGTGCCTCGGGCGCTCGTGAGCGCTATCTCCGAGCTATCTTTGAAGGACGCCACAGTCGGCGCCTTCGCTGTAGCCTTTGCGCCCGCTGCGGCCGCCGCCCACGCCAGGCGTGCCTCGGGCGCTCGTGAGCGCTATCTCCGAGCTATCTTTGAAGGACGCCACAGTCGGCGCCTTCGCTGTAGCCTTTGCGCCCGCTGCGGCCGCCGCCCACGCCAGGCGTGCCTCGGGCGCTCGTGAGCGCTATCTCCGAGCTATCTTTGAAGGACGCCACAGTCGGCGCCTTCGCTGTAGCCTCTGCGCCCGCTGCGGCCGCAACCCACGCCGGGCGTGCCTCGGGCGCTCGTCAGTGCTATCTCCGAGCTATATTTGAAGGACGCCACAGTCAGCGCCTTCGCTGTAGCCTTTGCGCCCGCTGCGGGAGCGCTATCTCCGAGCTGTATTTGAAGGACGCCACAGTCGGCGCCTTCGGTGTAGCCTTTGCGCCCGCTGCGGCCGCAACCCACGCCAGGCGTGCCACGGGCGCTCGTGAGCGCTATCTCCGAGTTATTTTTGAAGGACGCCACCGTCGGCGCCTTCGCTGTAGCCATTGCGCCCGCTGCGGCCGCCGCCCACGCCAGGCGTGCCTCGGGCGCTCGTGAGCGCTATCTCCGAGCTATCTTTGAAGGACGCCACAGTCGGCGCCTTCGCTGTAGCCTTTGCGCCCGCTGCGGCCGCCGCCCACGCCAGGCGTGCCTCGGGCGCTCGTGAGCGCTATCTCCGAGCTATCTTTGAAGGACGCCACAGTCGGCGCCTTCGCTGTAGCCTTTGCGCCCGCTGCGGCCGCCGCCCACGCCAGGCGTGCCTCGGGCGCTCGTGAGCGCTATCTCCGAGCTATCTTTGAAGGACGCCACAGTCGGCGCCTTCGCTGTAGCCTTTGCGCCCGCTGCGGCCGCGGCCCACGCCAGGCGCGCCGCGGGCGCTCGTGAGCGCTATCTCCGAGCTATCTTTGAAGGGCGCCACAGTCGGCGCCTTCGCTGTAGCCTTTGCGGCCGCTGCGGCCGCCGCCCACGCCAGGCGTGCCGTTCCCGATCCGCGAGTGGAGGTATCAGGAAAAGCAAATCTCGGTTCTTTGGATGCCAGAGAAGACAGTAAATGCGACGGCATGTACAGCGGAGATTGCAGAGAGCACAGGGGCAGCCGTAGCGACTGTCACTGTCGCCGTCGCCTTTTCCACGGCAGCAGAGGCAGCACAGAGCAGCAGAGACAGCGGAGACAGCAGACACAGCAGAGGCAGCAGGTTGCGCATTTGCTTTCTTTAATTAAACTCAGCGACGATGTAGTAGCAGAGACAGCAGTAACCAGAGGGTGACAGCAAAAACAGCAGGGACCGCAGGGACAGCAGAGACAGCCTGGTCCGTCGTCGTCGCCGTGTCCGACGGCATGGCGGGGGGGCGCGAGGGGGCGGGTCTGGCGCCTCCTCGCACATCAGCGGTGATAGCGTGAGCATTCCCATGTGGCTGTCTGTTGCATGTCATTTCCATCGCAGTAAGCCGTCATTGAAGCTTTGCCCGGCTCGTGGGATGTCAAAGAGTAATTGCCGCAAAGAGGCAGGCAGGTCGGGAAGCGTGCACGCGTACCGAGAATTACCGTTCTCGAAGGCATGCAGGGTTATCTCCGTTGTTCGAATGTCTGGGGGCGAATGCAGGAGAGCGCGGATGCAATTTGCGAGCTGTGGGTGCGAGATGCATTGGCGATGCGTCCCAGCATGTCGCGGTGGAGGCATGTGGTGCCTTGGGAGCTGCCTTTGTTCACCGCAACATGAGTCGCGATGTCGTTGGTTCCGTTGCCGCTTTGGCTCAAGCCTGATTTCGCCACCGCTTGGCACGCGCACCTGGCAGCCATCGTTGGCAGGCATCAGCCTTCGCATCCACCTTCAGCGCACTCTCGCGGCGATGGGCCCTCGGCGCTGCTCTGGCTTTGCGACCGACGACGGGATCGTCATCGAGTGCTGCTTCAATCCGTGGGAGAAGGGCAAGCGCGCGCAGGGCAAGTTCGAGGGGAAGTGTCAGTGGTGCTCTCCGATTCGCATGGCAACCATCTGCGCGACGCCGCAGCAATCCAAGCTGACCGCGCACAGCCTGGCGAACCTGCACAAGCTTGACATCGGCATCTACGACATGGCCGTGGAGCGGGTAAAGGTGCACGAGAGCGGTGATCAGCTCATTGCCCGCGCTGTCGGCATAATCTCGGAACGCTCGCAGGTGGGCGGGCCGCCACCGCCGCCAATCGAGGGTGACCAGGGCAACGTGGTCTCGCAGCCCGCCGAGGAGGAGATTCCTGCTGCCATGGAGCTCAACGAGGAAGCAGCCGCAGCTGGGCCAGCAGCGGCAGCCGAGCCGCTGCCAGTACCCGCGGAAGGCGAGGGCGCGGCCGCTGAGCGCAGACGCCAGCGCCTCTGCGAGGGATACAGCCTGGCGCGCGCCATGGGCCGCAGGCTCCGCAGCAAGGAGGACGAGGGCGTCTGCGTGTTCTCCAGGGCGCATCCTGGACAGCGTGCCATGGCGCTCGACGGGAAGTGCCTCTGGTGCACGCCTGCTCGCATGAAGGAGGCGGCAAGCAACCCCGCCAAGAAGCAACATGCCATGACCGACCTGAAGAAGTTCGAAGCTCGCAACCCTGCGCTGAAGCAGAAGGCGCTGGGGCGGCTGCGCAGGCACCTCACTGCGCAGGAGTACAAGTTTATTGTTACGCCGAGAGATTGCTGCCGCGGCGCTGGGGAAGCCATGTGCCCCTTCAGCACGGCGAACCCAGGGCAGCCCGCGCGCGTGGTGAAGGCCGACAAGCACTTGTGCAGCTGGTGCGATCCGCAGAGGCTGCGCGGCATGCAGGGCGTGAAGCGCAACGGCTTGCTGACGCAGCTGAAGGTATTCCGCGAGAAGGATGAGGCCGTATTTGCCAAGGCCGAGGCAATCCTGAAGGAGGTCTTCGGGGACAACTACCTAGCAGAGCTAAAGAAGAAGACTGTCCGGCAGAACCAGCAGGCGGCAAAAGCTCGAAGGCGCACTGGCAACACGAATTGGCCGACGAAGCTGGCGAAGCGGCGGCTGGTGATGGAGAGCCCGACGGTCGACGAGGAAGCTCGGAAGAAGTTCCGCAAGCTAGCCCTGGCGGATTTGAAGAAGGTCGAGAACTCGTTCTACAAGGACACAGCCGAGCGAAAGATGCGCGGTCGCGCCGACGAGGTCCCAAAGAGCAAGGACTTGGAGCCGCCGATCGGCGAAGCAGGCTTCAGTGATCTGTCGAAGGGGCTGCGGTCCTGGGCCGCCAAGGGCTCGTGGGGCATCTGCAAGGAGTGCCATGTCTTGCAGCCGCGGCCCATGCACGAGATCGATATGTTCCTCGACGCCAGCGAGGAGATCTCCAAGAGCGCCTGCCGCCGCTGCAACGCCGCTCGCGACATGTACGTCCCGCTGCCCGATGACGTACCTGGGCCACTCCGCGGCCTGTCAGAGGAGGTCGTGGAAGCCCTCCGGCCCATTGAGATCGACGTCGGCCACGAGACACGCTCCACCGACACGTTCGGCCGCCCGAACGGCTACCGCAAGAAGGTGAAGATGATCACGTTCTATTTCTCGAAGTGGCACGTGAAGGGCAAGATCCACGAGTTGGATGGGGATGCGCGGCGGACGGCAAAGAAGGCGTACAAATACTTGCTGGACTGCAACGAGTCCTCGTACAAACGGTTCCACGACATGCACGAGAAGTTCATCCGCAAGCAGGGCGAGGACGCCGCGGACAGGAAGCGCAAGCGCCCATACCACTTCCTGCAGGAGGTCGGACTGGAATGCGCCCTCTGGCCGAACTTGTACTGGTCCACGGAGATGACGGAGACGCACGAGCAGTGGTCGGACGCGAGGCGCGAGGAGAGGCGCGACGCCCAGGAGGCCAAGAAGAAGAAGGCGAATTATGGGTACGAGTCGGACGCCGAGGAGGACGAAGGCGACGGCGGAGGCCAGCGCACGAGCGTCAAGCGGTCTTTCATGACCAAATGCCTATCGCCGTTGCTTGGGTACGGATCCAACTTCGAGCTGCTCCAGTTCGTGTACGACCTGAACCTCTGGGCGACGCTCGGTGCAAAGAAGAACCTGGGCCTCGACAACGTGCCGATGCGGATGCTCATGAAGGGTCATACCTTCTCGCCGCTCTACTGGAAGGAGGTGCACAATGCCCTTGTCGACCTCGTGCGCCAGGTGGGCTTCCCGAAGCTGTTCTTCACCATTGCGCCATGGGAGCCGTGCTTCAAGTACCACGACTGGCTGCGCGATGAGTTGGAGAAGACACTGCGGACCCGCATGTACCTCCCCGTGGGCGAAACGCTGCACATGTCGCACGTGCTCATGCAGATCGTCCGAGGCATGCTGGCTGGCAACAACTACCAGATGATGGACCGCAGCAGCCGCAGCTGGACAAAGCACGTGCTGTCCGCGAAGGACGCCGACGGCAGACAGGTTCGCGTCCAGAGTTTCACGAGACTGGAGTTCCAGGACGGGAGCCGCAAGGAGGGCACGAAGCGCTACGACGGCTCCGGCCGGCCGCACCTGCACGTCCTCTTCTTCGCGGACGACGACTCCATGGCGAACATGGGATTGGAGCACCACCTCTTCGCGACACAGCCCGATGGCTTCTCGGATGACCTGAAGGGTTACGTGGACGGATCCCAGTTCAACAAGCACGGCGATGCAGAGAGCAAGTGGCCGATCTACCATGGGCCGTCGGGGGTGCACGGCGACGATGGTGTCCTCCAGCTGAAGCACACCGAGGAGGACCACGACGCGGGCCTCCGAGCGTACTGCGCTGACGTAATGGACGGGCTCCCTTGCCATCAGGACTGGCAGACCAGCGACGGGGAGGCCATGCTCCTGCAATACGTTTCCAAGTATGTGGCGAAGTTCTCGGACAGCAGCTACGACGAGTGGATGAGCGACAAGGCCTCCGCGGACAGCGTGGCCAGGCGCGTCTGCTTCGAGTATCACCCCTACGAGCCAGAGATGATCCTGCAGCTGTGCGGAGCGCAATTCAGACAGTACGACATCTCTACGGTCAGCGGCGGCTTCCGCACCGTGACGGCGCCTTACTCGGGCATGGCGGATGTGCCCGACTGGGTCCAGAAATATGCTGATTGCTCGTGGCGCCACGAGGGCATGACGCTCTTGGAGTGGCTTCGAAAGACTACTGACGACGGCGCCATCGCTGGATGGCTGAAGCGCAAGCACAAGCAGGAGCTGGTGCTGGCCCTGCACAGGCGGTACCGCGCGACCGTGCCCGACGGCGAGGAGCCCCAGGCGCTCGACGCTCACTGGCGCTTCCTGCGCGCTGAGTACAAAGGCATGGCCGATGCTGATGGCGGAGGTAGCGGGAACAGTGACAAAGACTCCGACGCCGAAGACGAGGAGCAGCCGAAGACCTTCGAGGAGTTCCTCGCGAAGAAGCACAGCGACGAAAAGAGCGAGGGCGAGGACGACTTTCCGAACCTCAAGGAGTTCGCGCGAGCCTACCGCATGCAGGGCGAGAAGGTGGTCAGCGTCGACACGGTATACGAGCTCAACGACCGCTACTACGGCCAGTGGGCTGCAATGAACGTGCCGTTCCGATCGCTCGACGAGCTCGAGTTCGAGGATGTGAATCGCCTGGTTCCGCAGAAATACAAGTATCTCGCGGCGGCGCTGCGACTGTGCTCTGACCAGGGCCGCGTCGCTGAAGAGCACCATGACTTGTTCACCGATGACAGGCGGCTCGTGGACTACATGAGCGCTTCAGCGAAGTCCAGCAAGTTCACCGAGGCTGTGCATCACATGATCGTGGGGCAGCGGAAGCTGATCAACATGTACCTGACGGGCATCATCGACAAGGCCGACGAGAAGGCCGCGGCCGACGCCGAGGCCGCGGTCATCGCCAACCGCAGGCCAGCGCGCGGCGAGGGCCAGGAGGAGGTGGACTTCAACCCGAAGCAGCTGCAGCTGGAGGAGGCGATCAACGAGCGCCTCGACCGCGCCGTGCGTGCGGAGCTGTCGGAGGACTGGGAGGAGGCCGACGAGGCGCGCGAGGAGGCCTACAAGAAGAACACGCCCGTCATCTGCCTTGGGAAGCCTGGGACGGGGAAAACGACTGTGGTAAAGTCCTGCATTCGCCGCGCCCAGGAGCAAGGCGCGCGCGTGCTCTTCGCCCTCCCGACGGCGCAGCTGTCCAGCCGCATGAAGCAAGCACTGCAAGGCCTGGACGGCTTAACAGTCGATACGTGCCACGCCGCATTCAAGTTGCATGAGCCCATCACGGAGAGTCTTCACAGGATGACGGACTTCGACTTGGTAGTGGTTGACGAGGTATCGCTGCTGAGCTGCGACAGTTTCGAGCGCATCCTGAAGCTGTGGAGCGTCGCTGGGAAAGTCCCCGCGCTGGTCTTCCTCGGGGACAAGTACCAGCTCCCTGGGGTCGAGCCGACACGTCCGTGGGAGAGTGCCGCATGGAAGCAGCCGCGCTGCTTCCACGTGAAGCTCACCGAGACGTGGCGGTGCAAGGAGCAGCGCTTCCAGGAGATCCTGGACGAGCTTCGGACAGACAAGCCTTCGAAGGAGACGTTCCGCAAGATTGTGCGCGATCACAAGGCTTGGAAGAGCATAGGCGATCCCACGCCCGCCGAAATGAAGAAGCTCTTCGAGAAGCATCCAGACACGCGGATCGTCACCTGCACGCGCAGGGGCGCCGCGGCCGTGAACGAGGCTGCAGTCGCTGCGCTGTACGGCCGCAAGACCCCGCTGGCCACGCTGGACGGCGACGTGGAACTCAACCCCGAGAACTACCTGGATGGCAAGCTTCGCACTGACCGCCGTCTGGTTCCAAGCAAAGTGCCGATCTATAAAGGGATGAAGTTGTACCTGACGAAGAACAAGAACAAGGAGGCTGACGAGGTCAACGGCATGCTTTGCGAGGTGGAGAACTACCACGCCGAGGAGGACATGCTGCGCGTGATGACGAAGACTGGCCATCGTCTGGCCATCACTCGCTGGACCGATCGCGAGAAGGGCAACGCGGTCTATTTTCCTATTCGCCTCGGGTACGCCAGCACCATCGACAAGGTGCAGGGCGACGAATTCCCCCACATCACCATCTTCCTGGACGGCTGGCCTAGACCGGCAGCGGGGTACACGGCGCTCAGTCGTGTCGCGACGTCAGACGATTACTTGATCGGCGGGTACGTGGAGCGCGACAACTTCATACCCGCGTTCTGAGATTGCCTCCGGTGTCCGCGCGTTGGCTGGCGCGCGACCGCTTGCTTCTCGCAGTATCCACGCGGTGCGCCTGCCCCGCTGTCGCGTGCAAAGGCACGAACGTGCGCATTCCTGCGAGGAAAATGATAGTCTGTCAGTGCCACGTCGGGGAAGGGAAGGAAAGCAGAAGGGAGGGCATACGTAGAGATTGTCTGACGTTCTCGACACCCCTGGAGTTTCGAAACGGCGGGGAGGGGGAGCGCGAGGGGGCGGGTCTGGCGCCCCCTCGTACATGGCCACGGAAGGCGTCGTGTGATGCCCTTCGCGGCGGACTTCGCAGTGCGAGAGGGCGCCGGGCGCGTGCCCCTCGCGTTCCCCCCCGTGAAACCCCGTGGGACTTGAAAAACGGGCCCCTGGAACTCCTCGGGGCTTGCTCTACGAGGTCTTGGGCGAACCACTTGGGTCCGCGGGGCCGTTCGGCGCCGCGGCGACCGACCTTTCCCAAGGATGGAAGCACGTGGGAGCGTCTGGGAGCGCGACAGGACACGCAGAGTGCACCGCGAGCGCGAGCCGTGAATTGCCCGTTGGGCTTGACCGTTGGCGTCGCCCCCGCTGAAGCGATTGCATTGTCGACGCAGCCGCCTTCGGCGCGAATTTCGCATGGCTGGAAGGGGGAGCGCGAGGGGGTGGGTCGGGCACCCCCTCGCTACGATGCGCGCGCATGGCTGCTGCAGCAACTCCATGGCAGACCTCTTGGAATGCCTTGGGAGAGCGAAGGCGTCGTGTGATGCCCTTCGCGGCGGACTTCGCAGTGCGAGAGGGCGCCGGGCGCGTGCCCCTCGCGCTCCCCCCCGTGAAACCCCGTGGGACTTGAAAAACGGGCCCCTGGAACTCCTCGGGGCTTGCTCTACGAGGTCTTGGGCGAACCATTTGGGTCCGCGGGGCCGTTCGGCGCCGCGGCGACCGACCTTTCCCAAGGATGGAAGCACGTGGGAGCGTCTGGGAGCGCGACAGGACACGCAGAGTGCACTGCGAGCGCGAGCCGTGAATTGCCCGTTGGGCTTGACCGTTGGCGTCGCCGCCGCTGAAGCGATTGCATTGTCGCCGCGGCCGCCTTCGGCGCGAATGTCGCATGGCTGGAGAGTCTGGCACCCCCTCGCTACGACGCGCGCGCATGGCTGCGGCAGCACCTCCATGGCAGACCTCTTGGAATGCCTTGGGAGAGCCCTCTGGGAGCGCTGAGAGAGCGCCTCGAGGTTCTCCAGGATGGAAGCACGTGGGAGCGTCTAGGAGCGTGACAGGACACGCAGAGTACACCGCGAGCGCGGGCCGTGGGTTGTCCATTGGGCAGGACCGTTGGCGTCGCCCCCGCTGAAGCGATTGCATTGTCGACGCAGCCGCCTTCGGCGCGAATGTCGCATGGCTGGAGAGGGAGCGCGAGGGGGTGGGTCTGGCACCCCCTCGCTACGACGCGCGCGCATGGCTGCGGCAGCACCTGCATTGCGGGGGAGCGCCAGGAAGCGCCGCCAGGGAGCGCTGCCGAGTGCTTGCGAATGCATGAAAACGCTTGGGAGCGCCATGGGACCGCTTGGACTGCTTAAACGCGCTTGGGAACGCCGAGGAGCGCTGGGGACCACCTGTGGGAGCTTGGGAGCGCTTGGGAACGCATGGGAACGCTTGGGAGCGTGCTGGGAGCGTGCTGGGAGCGTGCCGGGAGCGCCTGGAAGCGCCAGGGAGCGCTTGGGAGCGCGCAGGGAGCACCTGAGCAGGCTGGGAGCGCTTGCAGGGTGCACGCAACGCTTGGGAGTACCTGGGAGCGCTTGGGAGCGCCAGGAAGCGCCTGGGAGCGTGCCGGGAGCGTGCCGGGAGCGCCTGAGAGCACCTGGGAGCGCCATGCGCCTGGGAGCGCTTGGGAGCGCTTGGGAGCGTGCCGAAAGCGCCGGGGAGCGCTTGGGAGCGCATGGGAACGCTTGGGAGCGCTGGGGAGCGCTTGGGAACGCTTGGGAGCGCCTGGGAGCGCCTGGGAGCGCCTGGGAGCGCTTGGGAGCGCCTGGGAGCGCTTGGGAGCGCGTGGCAGCGCCTGGGAGCGCCTGGGAGCGCTTGGGAGCCCCTGGGACGTGCGCCAGCCGAAAGGACGCCGCATGCTGTATTTTCATATGGTTGGCGGCCCCACGGACGGCCGAAAGGGCGCCGCATGCTGTATTTTCATAGGTTTGGAGCCCCAGGGGATGGGACCAATCGTGGCGCACCCTTTGGCTGGGTTTTGGGTTAAGGGTTCTATTCATCTCTCGGAGCACTCACGAGGCATCCCCGCGGGGGGGCGCATCCTCCTCAGCGCTACGCGCTTCGTCGGTGCGGCGTGCGCGCATGGGCGGACTCGCTGATCGCTCGGCCAGGCGCCACGGGCTTCTGACGATGCACCGCCCGTGGCTTGCAGTTTAGGGTTTAGGGTTTAGGGTTTAGGGTTTAGGGTTTCTGCGCAGAACCATCCTATCCCCCCCTCCTCAGGAGGTAGGGGGGGATGGATGGATGCGTTCTGTCCCACCCCATCCACCCAGAGTCATTGCTTTTAGGGTTTAGGGATCTACCTCCCACGCTCCCCCCTATCAAGGGGGGAAGGAGTGCTGGCGTCAGCCTGAGTGAGTGATGTGCGTCCCAGAAACAGATATGTCAGCATTAGCGCGATTCGAGAGTCGTCCTTCGCGAAAGTTACGCGCGCGACCGCGACCCTGGCGGGTGCAGAGTCGCCCGCGTAGCCTTCCCCAGGGGCCGCCGCGTGGAAACTGGACGTGGCCCCCTGGGTTTCCGCGCGGCAGTGGGCGCCGCGCCGCGCGCGGGGTCCGACGGGCTTTCTCGCTCGCGGACTCGGCGCGGCGCGGCGGCTACTCCCGCGCGGAAGCCCCCCTCGACTGCGAGCTTCCGCGTTCCTGGTGCAAGTCCGCGGAAGAGGGCACAACTGCGCCTTGCCGAGAGTTCGCGGGGGCGCCGTTGTTCGTGGGGTCGGCGGACGTCGGCTCTGCGACGCGCGTGAGCGCTGCGGGAGCGAGAGTGCGCGTGCGGTGGCGAGAGAAGCAGCACCAAAGAAGCTCGAAAAAGACGCGCTTGAGAGAGCCCGCGGCCAAAGCAGCACCGAAAAGAGCTCGAAACAGACTGCTTTAGAGAGCCCGCGGCCAAAGCAGCACCTAAGGCAGCTCGAAACAGACGCGCTTGAGAGAGCCCGCGGCCGAAGCAGCACCAAAAAGCTCGAAACAGACGCGCTTGAGAGAGCACGCGGCCGAAGCAGCACCCAGGGGAGCTCGAAACAGGCGCTTGAGAGAGCACGCGGCCGAAGCAGCACCCAGGGGAGCTCGAAACAGACGCGCTTGTGAGAGCCCGCGGCCAAAGGAGCATCCAAGGGAGCTCGACACAGACGCGCTTGAGAGAGCCCGCGGCCGAAGCAGCACCCAGAGGGAGCTCGAAACAGACGCGCTTGTGAGAGCCCGCGGCCGAAACAGCACCCAAGGGAGCTCGAAACAACACCCTTGAGAGAGTCTGCGGCCAAAGGAGCACCAAGGGAGCTCGAAACAGACGCGCTTGAGAGAGCCCCCGGCCGCAGCAGCACCCAAGGGAGCTCGAAACAGACGCGCTTGAGAGAGCACGCGGCCGAAGCAGCACCCAGGGGAGCTCGAAAGAGACGCGCTTGTGAGAGCCCGCGGCGGAAACAGCACTCAAGGGAGCTCGAAACAGACACCCTTGAGAGAGTCCGCGGCCAAAGGAGCACCCAAGGGAGCTCGAAACAGACGCGCTTGAGAGAGCCCGCGGCCGAAGCAGCACCCAAGGGAGCTCGAAACAGACGGCTTGAGAGAGCCCGCGGCCGAAGCAGCACCCAAGGGAGCTCGAAACAGACGCGCTTGAGAGAGCCCGCGGCCGAAACAGTATCCAAGGGAGCTCGAAACAGACACCCTTGAGAGAGTCCGCGGGCAAAGGAGCACCCAAGGGAGCTCGAAACAAACGCGCTTGAGAGAGCCCGCGGCCGAAGCAGCACCCAAGGGAGCTCGAAACAGACACCCTTGAGAGAGTCTGCGGCCAAAGGAGCACCCAAGGGAGCTCGAAACAGACACGCTTGAGAGCGCCCGCGGCCGAAACAGCACCCAAGGGAGCTCGAAACAGACACCCTTGAGAGAGTCCGCGGCCAAAGCAGCACCCAAGGCAGCTCGAAAGAGACGCGCTTGAGAGAGCCCGCGGCCGAAGCAGCACCAAAAAGCTCGAAACAGACGCGCTTGAGAGAGCACGCGGCCGAAGCAGCACCCAAGGGAGCTCGAAACAGACACCCTTGAGAGAGTCCGCGGCCACAAGAGCATCCAAGGGAGCTCGAAACATACGCGCTTGAGAAAGCCCGCGGCCGAAGCAGCATCCAGGGGAGCTCGAAACAGACACGCTTGAGAGAGCCCGCGGCCGAAACAGCACCCAAGGGAGCTCGAAACAGACACCCTTGAGAGAGTCTGCGGCCAAAGGAGCACCCAAGGGAGCTCGAAACAGACGCGCTTGAGAAAGCCCCCGGCCGCAGCAGCACCCAAGCGAGCTCGAAACAGACGCGCTTGAGAGAGCCCGCGGCCGAAGCAGCACCAGGGGAGCTCGAAACAGACGCGCTGGTGAGAGCCCGCGGCCGAAACAGCACTCAAGGGAGCTCGAAACAGACACCCTTGAGAGAGTCCGCGGCCAAAGGAGCAGCCAAGGGAGCTCGAGACAGACGCGCTTGAGAGAGCCCGCGGCCGAAGCAGCACCCAAGGGAGCTCGAAACATACGGCTTGAGAGAGCCCGCGGCCGAAGCAGCACCCAGGGGAGCTCGAAACAGACACGCTTGAGAGAGCCCGCGGCCGAAACAGCACCCAAGGGAGCTCGAAACAGACACCCTTGAGAGAGCCCGCGGCCAAAGGAGCACCCAAGAGAGCTCGAAACAGACGCACTTGAGAGAGCCCGCGGCCGAAGCAGCACCCAAGGGAGCTCGAAACAGACGGCTTGAGAGAGCCCGC